ATGTGCCTTGTGATAGGCGTTCCGCAGCTCCTTCACTTTTACCCTACACTGGAATGTTTCCTGGTCATAGTCCCTTTCTATCATGCATTGTGAAATCTGTCTGCAGGCATCATCATTCCTATGGCTGGAGCACAGCTGGGACTGCACAGCCTCCTCTCTCCAAATGCTGATAAGGTCCAGCAGCTCAGCATTGCTGCCAGTGGGGGGATCGCCTGGTGCGTGGAGCAGGCATGGCCACCTGGAAAGATGCGCTAAGACCACTGCACACATCACCGAGCAAACAGGAAGGGGACTTTCAAATTTGAAAAGGAATGTACAGGGTGGGGATGACGGCTGGTCATCTGAGGGCAGGGCAGTAGAGTTCAAAATGATGACCAGAGAGGTGAGAACATGCACTGTGGGACATCTCCTGGAGGCCAATCGCAGCGCTGTAATTGCCAGTGTCTATGCTGGCGCTGCAGCGCTGTGGTCCCGGTGCAGAAAGCTGGACGCCTCTCATTGGGGTGATTTTTTTAGAGCGCTACAATTGCACAGTTTCTGCACACTAAGTGGCTTGGCAGTGTGTACACCTCGGGAGTTACAGCGCTCAAAGCTGTTTTACTGCGCACAAACTTGCCAGTGTAGACAAGGCTTTAGTTTCATTCTCCTGCTCCTTAGTAAGTCTGAGCAGTAGCAGAGTGGCTACAGCTGTCTGCAGATTTAGGAAGACAAAACTACATGGTTTTATATTAGATTCAATTTGGAAGGATATCTTAACTGTTAGGTTCAGAAACTTAATTAATTTGAAATGTAATCTCAAATTCAGCAGAAATTGATGGCTTGAGCCTCCTATGTTCTCCAGGAAAAACTTCCCACTTACCATAAATGATTTTTTTCAAGCTATGGTTTAAACTGCCTAATAGTGTCACTTTGTTTAGCTAAGTCTGAATTAATTTTCAGTCTAAATACATTGCTACAAAGAAACAAGGACAAGACTTTTGTGAAAGCTTGTTCAGCGATATAGACAACGACTCAGATCTTTGGACTGTTGCATCTTAAGCTTGCATTAATTTCATAGAGGGGTTATGTTTCCAACAAGGATACTCTACCAAAAGTCTTTCTGTGGCTTTAATTAGACAAGATACTTTACTCTACCCTGATGCGTACATTTGCTTTTGTCAGTGAGATGAAACGTTCTTGCCAGAGGTGGTTGTGTTTAAGTGGTGGGAAACAGGAAGTGATTCCTACATGCAAAATGCTTGGAGGATTTCAGATGACTCTATAAATCTATTAATAAAAATATTTTTCCCTAGCCAGCTGGAAAGATGAACTACTAATTTAATGAAAAACTGCAACCAAGTGTTAACTAGGGAATCTTGCCTCTTAACTGTCTCCCTCTATCCCTTTCTGAGAGACTTCACTCCTCTTACATTTAAATTTGCCTCAGTTTTATACAAACCTATTTACATACTTCTGATATTTTTGGTTATAACTCGCTGAATTATGTAACTAAAGCAAAATACCACATTTCCTAGACATGCGTAAAAGTTAAAGAAAAGGAAGCTGAAAGGTCAGTGTTCTATACTGTTGGCAGGCAGCAGTTCTGTCTGCTGATGACGTTATTTCTTCATATAACTTAAGTACATTTTTTTTTTATGGACCTTCTACTTTGTGGTGCCATTCTTATGGCCTTGTTCTGCCATAATGCAACAAAATCTTGTAAGAGTCCTAGTGGTTTTGCTGTCACATTCATGTAGGCTGTTCAATTACATTCTCTCTGTTCTGACCCCACCACCAAGATTGCTATCCCAGACACCCCAAAAATCACTGTAGGATTGGAGTTCCCTGGTGCGCTCTGCTTTTTCTCTGTTTGGTAGGTTGATGATCAGATTATTCTGGCCACATTTTTAAAGGTAGCAGGCATGTATCTGGCAGTGTGTAAGCAGCATGAAGGAAGGGATATGGAAGAGAGAAAGGTAAAAGTACAAGTGGAAGTGATAGAGAAACTGTTCGTTGGGTACTGAGAGGGAAAAGTGCCATTCACATTACAGAGTGAGAGAATGAAAGATAAAGTGTATTATTTTAACTGTTAATCTTCGAATTGTGGTTGTCACTTTCCAGACACTTGTGAAATTGTCTTAAAATATGTAAGACAAGGATATAATAATATAATATGACAAGGATAAACAAATGACAGGGCCTGTATATCAAAATGGGTCTAATGATAAATTGTCTGATGATATATATTGTTTTAAATGAGTTATAAATTAGGTTTTAATTGCTGCAGCTTAAGTAAAGTTTTTGAATTTGCTTGAAGAAAATATTCTCTCTTTCAGGTGTTGGGAAATCATGTTTATTGTTACAGTTTACAGACAAGAGGTTTCAACCAGTGCATGACCTTACTATTGGTAAGTTCTTCCTATTAAATATTCTATTGAAAAAATATTTAAAAATAAGGATCTATAAGGACAGCTAGATGCCTCAGCATGTTGGTTACAGGTTGTATATCCTTTCACTTAATTGCCATTTGTTTTATTGTGGCACAAATCATATGTCTTTGCTGTCTGCTGCCTGTATCATAACTGATGTGAAATAAGATAATCCAGTTCCTAGTGAGTAAATATTCACATCACAGAAGTGCTCCACAGTCATAATTTGCAACCTCCTTGGTTGCCTCTGTAGGAAGGCCATAGATTGAGTGGGCACAGAAACTGATCAGGCTTGAAGCACATTAGTAGAATGCTGTGGAGAGCTTGCATTTGCTCAGTGGGTTAGACTTCAGTCTCCAGGGGTCTCTGCCATTTGCCATGAGCATAAAATTAAGATTAAAAATAAAGCAGACTTCAACAAATAGACACCTTTGTTTACTAGATGAGAAATTGTATAGAGTTTCCTGATGGTGAAAGGTCGAATTGTGGATATGATTATCACCTGGAAGAGCAAGGTTTGAGGCCTGGTTGTGCAGCTGGACGGGCATGATGGGGGGGGGGGGTTGCATGTGTGTGTGAGGTGTGTCTGTTGGTGGGAGAGCTAGATGAAATGAGTGAGCTGGGAGGGAATGTATTGGCTATGACCTGACTTTTTTTTTTTCTTTTTTTTGTATGAAACAAATGTGCAAATTTTTACTTTCTGCTGTGAAGCAGATGGATACTTCTGATGCATGGTATGAGAAGTCATTTTTCTCTTGTGGTCAAGGCTGGTCTTCAGATGAGTTTTACTTAGGCTGTGCTTGAACAGGCACCAGCCAACAATGAAATTGCAGAATCTTTTAACTACAATTCAGGTTATTTCAAGGTCCCTGTTAAGGTAGCCTCCCCAATTATGCTCAGCCTTCCACAGGATGGACAACATGAGGCTGTACCCACTTTTGCTTCCCACCCTCTTGTATAGTTTCTCATAGATTAATGAAGCTCCTCTCCTGTGGGAGTACTTAAAATTGACGTGTGCAAAACAAACAATCGTTTCTCTTTTAGCAGAAGAGTGCAAGATGGTCTGTCTCTTGACAGACCTCCCAGACATTGTACGCAGCTGTCTCTGAAGTACTTCAAACTGTCAGCCTTAGCAGCAGCTTTGTTCCCCCTAGTTTTGGAACCAGGTAGGCTGGTTGAATAAGGAACCGGGACTTGGTCTTTGGAGGCAGATTTCTTGTCATCTTTCTTTCAAGACCAGGGCTGTCAAGTATGTCAAATCGTGAATAAGATTCACACATTTGCCACACTGTCACGTATTTCTGCAGCTAGCTGGATTCTCCTGTATCTGTCTGGGTGATGGTAAAGAGCTGCGGTTCCTATGATGACTACAGTGCCTGCTCTGCCTATCTCACCAGCAGCCAGCATTGGAGACCTGAGGGAAGGCAGTTGCTGGCAGGAGGGGGGCGGGGGTTGGGATCTGGAGTTGTTAAAAGGTTTGGGCCTATCCAAGGACAAAATGGGGGATAGGAACAGAACTTAGGAGCATGGCGGGGAAAGGAAAGAATGGGAAAAGTTTGCCCCAGGTACTCTACCCACCCACCACAATTTTCAGGCTGTGCCACCCACATGTACTTTCTCCCAGCATGCTTTTACTATGTTGTTAACCAATTGTAATTAATAAAATAGCAATATATTTATAAAAAAAAATATTTCCCCTGTCATACTGTTTAAATATGAACATCTAGTAATACAGTAAATGAAACAAGGACTTCACACTGCTTGGCTCTTTGGGGTGAGGTTGATCACTAATTTGGCTCCTGAACCACTGAGGTCTGAATATCACTGCTATAGAAAGACACTTAGGCTGGGTTTTCAAATGTACCTCTGGGTATTACAGTTCCAACTTTCAGTGGGATTTGGTGTATAACTTCCTTAAGCTCCTTTGAAAATCCCACCCTTGCATGTCTGCAGACACTAGCCAAAATTTTCAAATTAAGTTCCTAAAACTAAACTATTAAATCCTTATTTTCCAGTAGTAGTGAGTACCTGCAGAACCCATTGACTTTGTTATGACAGGGAGAGTTCAGCAGCTTTAAAAATAAGGTCACTTCTGTTTAGGTGCCTAACCCTGAGTTGAGGAGCATAATTTCACACCCAAGTTTGAAAACTTTGCCCACAGTATTTACCAAAACTGTTGAAGCATCTGTTCTTAAGAAATAGTCCTGTGCTTATGTACTGAAGAAATGCCCCAGATCCCATCCTGTTGATGTGCCATGTCCACTCAACAAGTCTCTTTTACATGTAAATAGCTCTGCTCGGATGGGCAGCATCAATCTTTTTCTGTTATGATGTGTTAGTACTATTGGTATAGTTTATAGTGTTTGTTAAACTGGCCTGTTAGTGAAATATATCTCCTTGACTATGGTCACTTTCACTATACCTTACACTCATCAATAAACATTGCCAATTTAATCCAACCTTGAGTAGAATTCATTTCTTTTTCAGACTAATCTCATTTTTACCACTGTCTCACCAAGGTTGTTTTTTTTGTTTTTATTTTGGGTACTTAGCACCAGGGCTTTGGAGCGGAGCCTGGAGCTGGAGCACAGAGCAGTGGAGCTGCAAGTTTTTGCCTGGAGCTGGAGCAGAGCCAGAGCACAGAAAATCTTGACTGCTCCAGTTTTTTTTTTTCCCATTTTCAATCCAAAATGAATTATATTTAGCACAAAAGTCTTAAAGGTGCCAAAAAGTTTCAGATTGTATAACAATTGATATTAACATCTACTTTACCACTTTACGTAATGTGTCACAGTTGTTTTCACTTCGGCCGAAATCAAGATTTAACGTACAGATACAAAATTACAAAGTTTTTTTGAGATATGTTTATTAATAAATATATTAAAGAATCAGATAATTATCAGACATCCGGCAACACTGCAGACTGCTCCCACCCTTGTGCCAAGGTTAGGCGAGTATATACTCACATAGATTAGTTAGATTAGTATGTGTTGATACTTCCTTTTGTAAGGATTTATCAATGAGACGCCCTGAGTGCTGCGATTACGGAGAAGTGTGATGCAAGATGCAACATTTAAGATATCACAAACAGGTATATTGCAAAAAAAATGTTTTTATTTATTGATATATTAAGATATTGCAAGAGATATTAACAACTTAAGCTCATTTCTCATATGGGCTCCCGTTACTGGTATGTTTGTTCATTTGTACATGCTCCCGTATCACTCTGGCAGACTTATTTTATATGTCATCTGTTCAATGGTCTTTTGGTAACACTGTTCATAATTTTAAATTTACTGGAAAAGTCACATGCAGCAGGCATATAAATATACAGTAAACATTTTGCATAAATTAGGAATGATTTTTGTGATATATCCAGAGTGAGTGGAAAATGTCTAGCACAACTTTGGGGGTGAATCCTTAGGTCATTTTAAGAAAAAAAGTTTCTGTGAACACGTGTCCTAAAATTCTGCTTAAAGGAGCTACAGTCCCTTCAAGGAGGTGATGAAAAGTTAATTTCTGATTAATATCTCAAAAATGCTTTTAATATAATTCCATTACTTTATGTCTGTATCTTAGCGTTAGTATGTACTACCGTATTACATTATCCAAAATTATTTAAACCATAGGCACCCCAAACTGGTGGTTGGTCATTTTTATTTCATATTTCAAGAAAGACTTGTTGTTGGCTGCCCCTGGCTACAAGTGGTAATATTTTGTTCCCCGTTAAAGTTTATTTTCAACCTTGTAACGTGTAGCCTCGTTACTTCCCAACAATTAATGTTGTAGAACAGCGATAGCACATACTAACGCTACAGCACATACCAAATTTCATTGATATATCTATATTAAAGCGTTTTTGAGATATTAAAAACTTGGAAAATATTTCTAATATTTTACCTCAAAATTTCATAAGAAAACCTAACTTGCAATTTATAAATAAAAATTTATATTATGTATATTAAAAATACTTCATTAAAACTGCAAGAAACATGTTAAAATATACTTTAATAATAATTTTGTGTAAAAAGAAAATGCAATCATTTTTGTCCAGAAAATCCAAAATAAATTAGAAGTACCTTAAGTGGTTAAGATATCACAAGCAGGTACATTATAAAAAAATGTAATGCTTTTGTTCATTGCTTTTCAAAGATCATAACAAGAAACATTTGGATGCGGTAGCAGCACAAGAAGATTTGGCCATGGCTTCAACAAAAAAAATTCAAATCTGCCCCCCATAATTGATAGCAGATTTACGGAAAAGGATCTCAACGACATCTTTACTTTTGAATTTGAAAAGCCCAAATTTGGGCTTTTGGGAAAAGCAAAGAAGCAATCAGCAACATGCAAGGTGGAAAAGGAAATGAATGGCGAGCTCAAACCATGTAGCTTCAAGACAAGTGAAGCAAGTGCCGTGAAAAGTTTCAACCTTTGGCGGCATGTAAAACTTAACCATCCTGAAAACTATGCGGCTCTGGTTACAAAAAGGGACCAGGAAGATGAGGCAAAACAGAAAGCTGGCACAGCTAAACGACGTTCATCTGGCTCTTTGAAAACTGGAGAAAAGATTTTTTGCAGAGCTTCATCTGAAAAGAAACTCAAAATTGAGCAAACAAAATTTGACTCATATTTGAAGTCCTCAAAGGTTACAGTCACTATGGATGCCAGTACTTTCCGTGAAGGGCTGATGGAAATGGTTTGCTTGAGTTCAACACCGCTCACTACCTTCAGGCTAAAGAACAAAGGGTTCCAAAATATTGCAGGCGAAATGGGTCGGCAGCTTGGCGTTTCGATGGGGCACAATGCGGTTCGTCATTTACTTGTCAGCACAGCTGAGTCTGGATGCGAAGAGCTCAAGAAAGCTTTGGAGCAAAAATTGTGCTACCTGAAAATGGATGTGGCAACCCATGGAAACAGAAATTTCCTTGCAATCAATGCTCAGTACTACGAAGAAGGAAAAGATAAAGCTGTGGTAAAAACCTTGGACATAATCGACACTGAAGAGCATCACAATTTTTCGTACATGAAAAGTCAAGTAAAAGCTATTTTAAAAAAAATTGGGATCAGTGAAATGGAAGTGCTGAGCATCTGCGTTGACAATGCAGCAAACGGGACGTGTGCCGTCAAAAATTTCAGCAAGGACAATGAAACCATTTCTACCTCTGAGAACAGGGATGTGGACAGAACTGAAGCTATTTTGCCTGATGAAGGAACTAAAGGAATGGATTAAATTGAACTCAACATGGATGCTGCTGCGCAATGGGTTAATGACCCTAGCCTCATACTTCCAACATGGCTTCATGAGGACGACTCAAAAGTCCAACTGATGACGTGTGGTATTCAAGCTCTTCAGTTGGCAATCTGGGATGGACTGAACAAAGAACATAAGAAATTTCTGGCAAAAATTCAACAAGTTGTTGTCAAACTACGAACCCCAAGTATTCGAAATGTTCTGCTTGATCTACATGGGGTAACTCAATCTTTGGAAACTGTGATTCACCTGGGGTTCAACATTTGCGATGATTGATCGGCGTCTTGTTTTTCAATCTTACGGTGAACAAGTGGCTGCTGCTGGAACAAGAGAACTCAAGTTCACAAAAGCTGAATGGGACGAAGTGAAGAACCTGCGAGACCTCTTGGCAAAGCCAAACCAAACAACCGTGAATCTTCAAGCTGTTGATGTAACCCTGGGAGTTTTAATGAAGGAATGGCGAAAACTGTCAAAATTCTTGCAAGAAAATGGTGGACAAATTGCAGAAGGAATTCTATCCTCCATGCAGAAACACGAAGAGAAGCTTTTTGACAATATTCATTTCCTTGCTGGAGTTTATGTTGACCCATGGTATCGGATTCTTCTTACCTCAAGGGAAATACTAAAGGCAAAGGAAGGGCTTCTTGATATTGCTTGACTCGAAAAACAAAATCTGTTGCTACATTTGAACTCAGTGAAAGAGGTTGAAGAAAATGAAATACAGCAAAAGGAGTCATCAACAATCGAATTTGCAGTTTCAGGAAGTTCACATCCTTCAGAAATAGTAGGCTTCCGTCTCCACTCTGAATTTGTTGGAGTGTCCATCCCTGAGACGTCTTCAATCATCACAGGGAAATGGAGATAATTCAAGCACCAATTCTTCAGAAGATGACGCCTTCGAAAAGGAATTGGATAGACAAGAAAGACACTGGCGAGTTTCTGCGATTCATAATTGTAATGAAGCATTATTCGAGAGAAACTTTAGGGAAGATTGAGAGGCGATGGAGCCTATTGGTAGGCTAAAAGTTAAGTCTGTTTTTGAGGCCATTCACAGCTACCCACACCGCATTCAGGCTGCCTGTAGAATTGCTTCAAGCATGCCAACAACTCAAGCTAGTGTAGAGTGACTGTTTTCGGCTTTAAAGTTCATTTTAAATGATCTGCTGCAGGTTATGAAAGACAACTTGATTGCTTCAATAACTTTTTACAGAATGAATTATGAATGATTCTAGTTTGTACCATTGTGGATATTTAAATTGTTTTAAAAGTCTGAATAAAAATGTTCTTTTCAAAATTACAGTATGCACTTTTTTTTTTATTTTGTTAAAAATTAATTTGAGTCGGAGTCGGAGTCGGAGCAGTCACTATTGGTGCCGGAGCAGACCTGGAATGGAGCAATTCAAAAATGTGATTGCTCCAAATCCCTGCTTAGCACTTACAGTTGAGGAAGCTAATGGCAGCCTTGAGATACTTTGATTAGTGCTCAAAAATTCTACAATTTTACTTTGACGCATCAAGGTATTAAATTCTAATATAAGCACAAACTTCTCTAGTTAAAAATTGACCCTATCCATCAAAAAAATGCTATTTACAGGTGAGAAACTATGAAATTCTTTACAGATATTGATTATACAGTGGTAGCAATATTTACTTCATGCTTTTATTGCTGTACTAACTGCAAATGGTCAGAATTTTTACTTTCAGTCTGTTTGAATTTCTTGCTTATGTAAAACATGTATAAATCTATATTTTGAGAAAATAATGAAAATCAACATTATAGCATTCCAATAACAATCTTATGTATAGAGAACAAAAATGAGTACGGTTGTATGTTTATCTTTAATTTCCTCTGTAAGCCTAAACAGACACATAGGTGTGTTTTTTTGTTTGTTTGTTTTTTTCACCCACTTGAACTAAGGAAACAAACACCTTTTTATTAAGTCTTTTGGAAGATTTAGAAAAAGCAGTGTACATTTAAAGCAGTAAAGGCAATATAGGAAAACAATTAGAGCAGTGGTTCTCAACCTATTGTGGGCTGTATATGCAGCTCTCTGTGTGGCCCTGAGAATGTCCGATGAGCTATAGCTGTGTGCTGATTGGGCCATGTGTTAAGAACCACTGAACTAGAGTATAATATAAAGTAAAAGTGCACTGCAAGGTTGCCTCCTATGGTTACAAAGTTGAGTTAAGTCTACCCCACCTGTTTTAATTTCATGTTGGATAGATTTTTCCCATTTGGGTAGTAACACTGTAACTCTTAAAATCTCTTCAGGTGTAGAATTTGGTGCTCGAATGATAACAATTGATGGAAAACAGATAAAACTTCAGATATGGGATACGGTAAGCAAAATAAAAATGAGTTCTTTGTATATACATTTAAATGTATTTATTTTCTGTAAAGATTAAATATTCACTGGTTCCTCTAAATGTTTATATTCAAAGTACTTCTTAAAAATTGTGCCGTTTCTTCTGTTAAATGAATTTAGCACTGTAACTCTCAGGAACAAAGTCAAAATGCTGTGAGAAGATGGGAAGGAATAGAAATCTGTAATAAGTACTTGTGTTAGGTATAAAATGTATCTCTAGCTGTACCTCTGAAGCATGTTGTGGTGGTGTGAACCTTTCATGGACATGAAATATATTTTTCCTGTGTATTTAAGGAGAGATGCTGCATTTTTAATATTCAATTTTATTTCATTATGAGAATAACCAATTTAATTACAACTGAGTGTGTTTTTTTAACTGTGGAGTTTCCTCCACTGCTTGATTGTGTCCAGGAGGTGCTCAACAATTTTTTTTTAAACTTATACTTACTACTGATAATGGATTTTTCTGTCTCCTTCCTTTCCCACCTCTCATATTTGTGATGGCCAGACACGTGGCCCTTACTAAGTTCAAGTTTCCTCATTTGGTTAAACTTTTTGTTAAATGTGAATATTTCCAGCATTCATATGTTTGGTTTTTTTTATTTTCTATTTGAAATTTGTCAAAGTATAACTTCAGTTACTTTTTCCTGAATTTGTGTTGTTCAGGGGTTTATTTATGGTGACAGTGAGTTAAAAACTGCACTCAGTTTAAGGTCCCATATTTTTCTAAGTCTGTAAGAAATAAGTGATTTGAGAATCTTTGTTGCATAAACTAGATAATGAGAAAAACATCTTTCTTTTAATAAATCCCCTCCTGTTCTTGGAGCTTGTGGCATCAAACCCAACATTTTCCTGTATTTCCAAATAGAGACTCTCCAACTGAATAGTGTTGTATGTATTTATCACCTTTTTAAAAAAACAGTGAATTTCTGCAAGAGAAAGCATAACCACCACAAATGTCTCCATTCATGGGACCCATAGTAGGATTTTTTTTCTTAATATACTTTGCAAATGCTCTGGGTTTGGATGGAAATGCCTGTGCTGGCTTTGACAGGTCAGTTAATTCAAGTTCTAGTTTCTTAAAATCAATTAGTAACACTTTAGTTTTTTAGTAGCATGAGATAAAGTTCACCAACAAAAAGACTAAGTTAACACACATATAAGCGTCTTCATTCTGTGAACCAGTTTTTGTGATCTTCCTGTAAATACCTCCTTAAAATTCTTCACCTATTTTGTGGTATTTTCTTCCTCTTCTGTTGGTACTATGGACTACCAGAAAGTGTTCTGTAGACCATAGTATGAGAACTCCTACTCTATTGCCTTGGACTTACATCTGAACTTGGGTAGCTACAGGTTTATATCTAAATATTCTGGCTCAAGTTATGGCTGTAGAAGGCTCTGAATTTAGTTAGTGTAATTCTGCTTTATAACTTATACAGTCGGTATAAAGAAGCTACACTGAGAGTTTGGAGTGGGGCAGGCTTAGGCCAGGGGACAGGTATAGTTGTGAATCCACTGGCTATTAGGGCCCTACCAAATTCATGGCCATGAAAAATGTGTCACGGACTGTGAAATCTGGTCTCCTCCAATGAAATCTGGTTGTCTGTGTACTTTTACTCTATACTATATAGATTTCAAGGGGGAGACCAGTGTTGATCAAATTGAGGGTCCTGACCCAAAAGGAAGTTGCAGGGGGGGTCACAGGATCGTTTTAGGGGGGTTGCGGTATTGCCATCCTTACTTCTGTGCTGACTTCAGAGCTGGGCAGTTGGAGAGTTGCGGTTGCTGACTGAGGGCCCAGCTCTGCAGGCAGCAGCGCAGAAGTAAGGGTGGCACTACCATACCATGCCATCCTTCCTTCTGCGCTGCTGCTGGGGGTGGCTCTGCCTTCAGAGCTGGGCTTCTGGCCAGCAGCTGCTGCTCTGCAGCTGCCCAGCTCTGAAGGTAGCACCAGCAACAGTGCACAAGTAAGGGTAGCAGTACCACCTCCCCCAGTCCCTGCTTACGCGCGCGCGCACACACGTGCACACACAGACACACACACAATAACCTTGTGACCCCCCCCCCCCCCCACAACTCCTTTTTGGTCAGGATCCCTACAATTACAACACCATGAAATTTCAGATTTAAATAGCTGAAATCATGAAATTTATAATTTTTTAAATCCTACGACTGTGAAATTGACCAAAATAGACTGTGAATTTGGTAGGGCCCTAACTGTAAGTTTATTTTGTCTTTAACCTGAGTTCAAAAGGGGAGTAGTCTGTACCTTCAGATAGTTTTTTTTTTTTTTTTTTCCAACACACAGCCTGTGTGCAAGGACCAGTGTCTGAACCACAATGAGGGTTTACAGCTAAGTTGTAATCCACATTTCACCTATAAGTAACTCCATCCCAGCTATCTTTTGAGAGAGCCTCTAACTTTGCATTCACATATGTTTTGGTTATACAGTGGATGCCATCCTGATGAAGACAATTTTTGGTTATTAGCAACGTTTTCCCAAGAACCAATTCTGTCCCATTGACTTGAACATTAATAGAGTTTGGATATTAGCAACTGTCGTGCTGCTTATTGACAACTTCTTTGGAAGAGGGGTTCCACTAGCAATTAATTAATTGGCTCTGAGTCTGCAGCCTGGAGATGGCAAGAAGAGGAACTGTGCAGCCTTGTGGCCCCCCCTCAGTGTCCTCGTTCCCCATGGAAAGTCCTAGCTGCAGGCAGGTTTACAGGGCTGCAGCCAGCAAAGAAAGCACTGGGACATGCCAAGCCGGGCCCGTCAGTGCCAGGGCAGGGTGCATTCCAGAGAGTGCAGAGAGACGCATAGACTTTAAGGTCAGAAGGGACCATTATGATCTTCTAGTCTGACCTCCTGCACAACGCAGGCCACCGATTCTCACCCACTCACTCCTGTAACAAACCCCTGACCTATGTCAAAGCTATTGAAGTCCTCAACTCGTGGTTTAAAGACTTCAAGGTGCAGAGAATCCTCCAGCAAGTGACCCGTGCCTCACGCTGCAGAGGAAGGCGAAAAACCCCCAGGGCCTCTGCCAGTCTGCCCTGGAGGAAAATTCCTTCCCGACCCCAAATATGGTGATCAGCTAAACCCTGAGCATGTGGGCAAGACTCACCGTCCAGGCACCCAGGAAATAATTCTCTGTAGTAACTCAGATCCCACCCTATCTAGTGTCCCATCACAGGCTATTGGGCCTATTTACTGCTAATAGCCTTATTTTTGCAATTAACTGATCTTTGACTATCTCATCATACCATCCCCTCCATAAACTTATGAAGCTTAATCTTGAAGCTAGATATGTCTTTTGTCTCCCATGCTTCCCTTGGAAGGCTATTCCAGAACTTCACTCCTCTGATGGTTAGAAACCTTCGTATAATTTCAAGTCTAAACTTCCTGATGGCCAGATTATATCCATTTGTTCTTGTGTCCACATTGGTACTGAGCTTAAATAATTCCTCTCCTTCCCTGATATATTTATAGACAGCAATCATATCTGTCCTCGGCCTTCTTTTGGTTAGGCTAAACAAGCCAAGCTCTTTGAGTCTCCTTTCATAAAACAGATTTTCCATTCCTCGGATCATCCTAGTAGCCCTTCTCTATACCTGTTCCAGTTTGAATTCATGCTTCTTAAAGATGGGAGACCAGAACTGCACACAATATTCCAGATGAGGTCTCACCAGTGCCTTGTATAACGGTATTAACACCTCCTCATCTCTACTAGAAATACGTCGCCTGATGCATCCCAAGACCACATTAGCTTTTTTCACATCCGTATCACATTGGCGGCTCCTAGTCATCCTGTGATTAACCAATACTCAGAGGTCCTTCTCCTCCTCTGTTACTTCCAAGTGATGCGTCCCCAGTTTGTAACAGAAATTCTTGGTATTAATCCCTAAATGCATGACTTTGCACTTTTCACTATTAAATTTCATCCAATTACTATTACTCCAGTTTACAAGGTT